CCAACTCGGACATTCCAATGTCCAGTGCGTTGACCGTCTCGGTCCAGTGCTCTCGCCAATAGCGCTTTTATCTTCTAGCAGAGGTGGGTTCATGACTCGCCAAAGTTCCACCAGGAGACGTGCACGTAGCGCCCAAGGTCTTTGACCTTCAATCAATCCATGGCTCATGGTGTTCCAACCATGCCATTTCTAAGATGAGGTCGTACCTTGCATCCAAATCTAAGACTAGACAGCGGTCCACGCTACCAAAGTAAAAAACTTGACTCCGAGGTCCACAGGGACCTTTAGGACCGTGACACGTGTCGCCGTCGCTAGGCGAACAGTGACGATGTCACCTAACAGCGCTTTCAGCGCCTCTGCATACAGCTGACCTGCTTGCTTCGTGGAACGTCGAGCATAATTGCCCGACGCTCCGGAATCGATTAGGATTTTCCATGACTTCTCGAAGCCCTTTACGGTCGCCTCCACGACCAACAAGCCGGCTTACATACACGTTCCGTGTTCAAGAGCACAGAGCTCTTCGGTGCTGGGCCCTGTTGACGTCTACCTCCCTAAGGCTCAACAGAACTCCTTTCTTCCCCAGTAGGTTGCCCCGCGCCAACTGGGTGCCGTCGTTTGACGACCAGACTGGTAGGCATTGGGGCGATGGTTCGAAGAGCCTTGACGCGCCTTGCGCAGAGGGCAACCGCTCCGAAGGTGACGGGTGTCTACACAGACAAAACACCATCGTGTGTTTGTGTGCTGCCCGACAACTCGGATATCTGATCCCTTGTCCTCAGCATAGCTAAGATCCATACGCACAGGACCGCTCGACGAGCTGTTGGAGTGTGCATTCCAACCAAGTAGTGCCGACTTGAAATTGAATGTGGCATTCAATGCCACATTAACCGCCTCTTCAAATGAAGATAGATGCACACGGAAGACTTCCATTCTGGCCACGCCAGTGCGGAGGCCTTCCATAAAGGTGGTCACTGTGACCGCCTCCGGAAGGGGATCTGCTGCCATCCTGGCAATGAGAGTGCGCATCTCTTGGACAAAGTCCACCAATCCTTGTTACCCTGTCGGGCGGCAAGGAAACGCGATCGCACGCGATATGCCTGATTAGGCGGCGAGA